TATAGCCAATACATCCTTAAAGGTGAAGTTCTCTCTAGTAAAGAGTTGACGTTTCGAGTGTCATTTAAAAAATACTATCGTGTGTTCCTATTCCGATTGCAGAAATGCATAATACGTCCAAGCGTTCTAATTACCTGTTTTATTTATCTCGTAATTGACACTTAGGTTTTAGTCCATGAAGAAAAGAAAACGCGCTAGCCACAGAATTAACGTCCCAGAGGAACATCGTAGTAGCAACGTTCCCAACCCCGTCCTACCCCTAATCCCTGTTGAATTCGTAAACGAACCCGATTTTGAATGCATGCTTTGACGAAACGAATCGTGTCAGGGAGGAAGGAATTCGCAGACGGAACATCCAGAGCGAAGTCATGAATGCTCGAGATCGTGAAAGAGGATAAGCGGAGGCGTCGCGGGCATGAAAAGTCATCGTAAAGGGGACGGTTGGTCGTAAAGTCGAGCTGCACCGGGTGTTCAGCGACGCGCGAACCATGTGTGCCTGCGAGTCATTTAACCTACATTGTGCCGGTGTGTGTCCCAAAGTCGATGCAGAACGTTTCCAGCAGCCGCAAAGCAATTGCATCCAGATCCCTAGAAACAATGTTAAAAAGTCGACCCACGGCGAAGCGCAACATCACCCGATAACATGGACAGTATGTAGCTAACGTAGTAGCTTTGTAGATTTCAGTTTCGATCGGCTGTCGCTTTTAGTACGCTTGATCGATGTTCAATACGAAACTTGCCTCATTCTGAACAAACAGGGGTCGTGTCAGCTGCAGATAGATGCTGGCGCGTTCCTCTCCTCTCTGCTGTGCTCCCTATACAACTTTTCGATCGTCCTTGTCGACAGACCCTTTTAAATTTTCACCACGCCCGCGCCGCTGTGTTTTAGTTTTCACGGATATTACATATAACTTATTGTCGATTTTTTCAATAAAACTCGTGAACTTCGACATTGAGTCTTTCATCTGATTTAAACCATTAAATTTTTGTTTATATTTAAGCAATGAATTTCTGCATAAAGCAGCAGTATCTTCTGAAATAGATTTTATCAAAAGTTTACTTAGAACATCGTAACTCACGTTGGAATGTAAATGACTAGGGTAAAGAATCAAGATATTTAAGAAGAATTTACTTTGGTCAGAAACCAATGGTTTCGCCGAGTGCGAGTGTTTTCTTAGAGATACCACCACAGGCTAAATCGTGGATAATTGCGTGGCCGTGCAAACTTTGAGCATAATCGCGTCGCTTACCCTTCTCTGCTAACTTTCCCATACGTTTAATCCGGGATATAATGGACACAAACTGGATGGGATTCCGCCTAACCGTGCGAAACGGTTTTCCGATCCCTTTTTTCGTCTGCTGATTAATGGAAGAGTCGGAGCGAAAAATGAGAGTCCGCGTTGGTAAAAATTCACGGATTCTCGATATCGTTTCCATGCAAACAAAGAAAAAAAATTTTCTAGCCTTGGTGTTGACGCTGTATAATGGAAAAACAGTGTACGAGTGCATTGTTGTGCCGCCACGGTTGTGTGTTCCGTCCATCCATCGGACAACCGATTCGGGGAGGAGGTATTTATTATCCTTTTTTCCTTTCATTCGTTCACATCACCTATAATCCGACCACCCTCCACTCGACTGGAGCATTTGGCAGAGTCGCGCGTACATTCCTTCCTATACATATAGTTATGTCCTCTCTGAAAATAATATGTGAATCGGCGAGATTCACAGATATTGAAAAGAGTTCTCGGTAATCTTTTCACGAGATTAACTGAAAACTCGTGTGCACAAATTGCAAGTTATAGCTAATGCGAGATGCTATTGAAATTCTGTAAGAGATGGAACGAAACGAAAGTCAGGTTGACGGGAGGCAGGTTGAACCGAGATCCGGAGCAACTGGAGCGCGAGAATTTCGTTGCCACGCTCGAGGAACGTGGCTCGATTTTCGAGCGGGCCAAGCGTTTTATTTATTCACGAGCCTCGTCAAAATTAGCATCGCGCGCCACCGAATTATCGACGGGAAATCGATTTCCGAACACGTCAGGGACACGTCTCGGCCAGTCACGTGCCGACTGACCTAAACCCTGAAGAACGTCCCTTGAAAATTACGTCGCGTTCTAGTCTCGCGAGTAAATTTCTGTACACGGCTCTAAACTAAGTACTTTCAGGCAGGTAGATAGGTAGTACGTGCATACATAACGGGAACGTCATATACTCACGTCCTGGGCAGAGAGAATCCTCGTGGCAGACTGAATGGTCGTGCTTCCCGAGTGAGGTCGATGATGCAAGGATTCAGCGGTATTGTCTCGAGAGTAGATGCTTCTGTACCAGGGCAATCCACTCGAGCTGTCTCGTCTGTTTCGATATTTCCTCCACACGTGCCTGCGGAACAGAACAAAACCGGTCCCTCTCTGAGAACGTTCGCTCTCCTCTCCAGTCGCGGTTAACTATGTTATTCATGTTTCATTCATTAAGAAAGAACCTTTGACTGTGCTCGAGTTCGAAGTTACGTTTCCGTGAGCTTTAAAAAGAGCTTTCTTGATCTGTCTATTATGCAGGTAGTATTTAGAAAAGAAATTTCAATTGCCTCGGCTTGGTTTATTCATTTGCGTGGCGAAAAAGGAGAAAGAACTTTCCAAGCCGCAAAGGATAATTCTTCGCCGCAGAGCTTTGAACTCGCGGAACAATGAAATAATTAAAATGGGCAAATTGCAATAATTAAAAATGAATCGCGTTCCTTTCGAGCGAATATCACAGTCCTTAATGAATCAGCATTGCACAATCATTTTAATAGGTGGTTACTTCTATTCATCGGTTGACTTCGCATGTACGCTCAGTGCCAGTGTTAATGTTATCTTGACAGGAAATCGTATGTTCAAATATATGCAGTACCGTACAATTGTAAAGTAAGCGAACAAAAAACGCTACATAAGCTTTGAAAATAATTTGAACGCACCTGCGCTAGTAGTTGAACGACTATCAAATAAATTGTTCCCATTTTCGTGAATGGACCCGACATAATCCCCTTTTCTCTCCCACAATTTCAGCAATAACGCAGGATTACTCGGCTACAGTGTAAATTTGCGAGTTTCCGACTCGCCGCGACGTGCGGGTCCGGCCAACAGATCCGTGAAATCGGTTTTTATTGTAAGGTCGGCATTAACGGTCCAGCGACTTAGGCTAGAGTTAATTTTTTCGGATCAAGGGATCTGCGGAAATTTACATTCCATATCCATTTCTCACGGACTGATTCCCCGGCGAACGTAACGGATAAATAATTCTACCACTTGTAACATTGAAAAAGGTCGTTGAAAATTCAATTTCTCGGCAAGTCGAATAATCCTATCATCATGGTTTATGTTTTCGCAATAGAAACGACCTCCCCTTGTTAATCTCGGTCTCTCGTTACTGTTGACACGGAGGATGAGATGCAAGGGTCTCGCGGGTTTGGGTGTCGATGCATTGCCAGGGATTAGGGATTGCGCGACGAGCCGAGGCAACAATCGATCAGGTTCGCGAATTTCCGGTGCAGCGATGGATGTTACGGCTTTATCGATACTATAGTCGGATTCGACGGTGATCGAGTCGCGTGTACGACGTATTACGACGCGCACCGACTTTGTCTTTAATTGCCCCATTAATCAATGTCAGGTGCTTTCGCTTTCGCGAGACAGCCGCGAGCAGTGTCGTCTTGTTCCCGGTTATAACGCGACTGTCGCATGTACCGTTAACTTATTCGCTGACTTAACGGTTTCCCATGTCTGCTCTTCTCGCTGTTAGATGCGGATCTCGTTTTCTGTCCAAGCGTGCACGCGCATCATCGCGAGCTTAGAGATCGAGGAACGGTACAGGAACGCGCGATATTCTTTCTGCAGGTGCGTCCTCCAAAAGTGGAGCGCGAGAGTGAAAATGTGGCACGCGCCACCTGCCTCCAACGGGGTACTCTCAATTCAAATACCATACAATATTTTTCAAGCGCCAACTTCGCCGAAAGTGAAGAGTACGCAGATTGTAAATAATAAAAGAAAATACACGAAGCGCGCAGAAAATTATTTGTTCCTTTTTCCCCACTCCTTAGATTAAAATACAACTGCTTGAGTGAAGTAAAAATAGGTAAGTTGAAGCTCCGTTGAAAAGATAGGTAAGTGTTTCTAAGGAAAAGAGGTAGAGATAAAAGTTTGCAGTAGTTTTCTGGGCATACGTTGCGAGCCAACTATATTCTCCTCACCTGATGCCGAAGGCGATTCCCACCGTGACGATCAACGGCAGCAGCGTAAAGATACACGCTAGAAAAACTGTTTGTATGTCTGAGAAACCAGCGAGTATACCTGTAACAAGGTGTTAACAGTAAAAATATTTATTTTCAAAGAATGGTACAATAAATAATTAAAGTTAAAGTTCCATTTAATACGTCATTCTGTCTATCGTTCATTCGCATTCACGGCCGCTTCGATCTCATCGATCAAAATGTACAATGCAAATAAAAACAATGGATAAACTCAGATGTAAGCGTAGCCTAAAATTGCGCGCAGCGCGCATAATCTAATTCTAACGAACAGCGTCTCAAGAAGACTGCGAAATGACGTCAAACTGATCACTGATACATGTGCAGGTGAGTGTGTTTCGTCGTGTAATCTCCGCTAATACGATGCTGAATAAAATTTCTTAAAATAACCTTCAGGGTTCACAACCTTCATCCTCAATCTGTCTAACCAAAATTCCAATCGCGTCAACGATGCGTCCCAAAGGGATGAATCTATCGACGATCTCGTTTTCATTGACCCCAAAAGCTATGATAAGCGCACAGGCCGGAAATTCGAATACACAATGAGCGAGCGTTCCACCAGAAAGCTATCGTCGTCGCGTAGAATCGTAGAGGACGAGAGATGGATGAACTGTTACTTCCGGAAGCTGGCGTCCCTATACAGAAAGTCGCCCTGTCTGTGGAAAAAGGACACGCCGAATTATCTGAACAGCGAGCGCAGACATCGCGCGTACGCTCGCATTCATCGCGCAATGGATTTGCCTAAAGTGACTTTGGTCGAGATCGTCCTAAAGATTCGCGAGATGCGACGATTGTACGTGAACGAGTTGAAAACCCTGCTGGAAGCCGAGTCGCTCGGTCGTCGCTGCGAAATCTCGCTGCCTTGTTTCTACGACTTGCATCGATTTCTCTATCCGTACCTGGATTACGACGAAGCGGTCGAACTGCACGTTCGTATCGATAAACCAACTCGTTACGCCATTAGCATGAACGACGCGACGCGACAGTACTCGACGGTTTTGCCAATAACTTCGTTGTAGTTTCTCGTTACCGCCATGGCGCACTCCGGATCGTGATGTTTCGCCATGACAAGTTTTTCGTTTCCCGATTACAATTACACTACCAATAGTCTGACATAAACGAAACTAAGGCACCAGGACTTTTTAATTATATTCTTCTTATGCGAATAACCGGGATAGCCTGCCCAAGATGATATTCAGAATAATAGATCACGTGTTGTAATTATAAGAAATTAACAATTGAAAAAATGATTCAATTTTCATAGAACATCAACCAAACCTTCGTCGAGATACGGGAAATACGAAAATCTGATTCGAACATCGGTTTGCCAGCATCGAACACGAACAGCCGGGCAGAAAATATTTTACCGCCGAATGCACCGCGACCTCTCGCTACCCTAAATTCGAACAGTTCCCCTGTCGTTTCTTTACCGGAGGTCAAAGCTCGCCCTCGAACTTGTCCTCATTCCTGCAGCAGGATTACCGAGGCGAGGAAACAGCTGAACAGATTTCCTCTTCGTTGTTCGATGTGCACCAGTAGGTCGAGTGCCCGCTACGAAAACAGCTCGCGACACCATGGGGACACGACCAGGGACGCGTCGATGGGGATGAGACAGGTTGATCAATGATACAACATCACAAATTAACCCTTCCGGTTATGATTTGGTCAGCTGCTATTTCGAGACACCTGAATTCACGCGAGATATGTGTTAAAATAGGGATGATTACTCTGTCTCTAGAGATTAATTCATGAAGGGGAGGGTTAATTGCATGTACCCCTCGTATAATCTCCGTGTTATGAGGATACATATTTAATACTCGTCATTGAAATAGGAAGAATCTCATAAACATACAATCTGCGAATTGCACGGCATATCATCCAGCGAAAATGCTAGTGACACCGATTCGGACCAACTGGAAGCTTTCTCTGTGAGTGTAACGCGTTGCTTGAAGAGATTAGATAAACCCTGCGTGATCCGAGCTCAAACGAAAATACAACAAATCTTGGAGAGAATGTTGAATAGATGCAAGGTAATGACAGATCTAAGTATCAACAATGAGACCGTAAAAAATGAAAACGCTTGTACTCTATATTTTATACCATCTTGTAGAACAGTCCACTATAAACAGACTTCCTTATACAAATTGCCTCGAGTCTGTGATAAAGCATCCGAGAGGATCCGAGGAAGGTAAAGCTACCATATCTGAAGGAGCTTGCTTGAGAGGCCATCGAGCTAAAAAGGGTGCATTGTTTCAGATCCAGCGTGAAATATATGCGAAAAGCGGCGCGGCGCGGCGTGCACACGATCGGCACCTCCCCTATTCGTTCATGCGTAGCAGGTAGACCTCATAAATATTGCAAAAAAGCCTGGCGGCGCGAGTAGCTCGCGAGGAGCATGAATATCTAACGACAAAAAGCTTCAATCGTAGTTGAGTTCCGTCGTGTATGTATCAGGGTTGTAGAACGCGGAATGGTATCGATCCGACTTTGGGTAGACCGCAGCATTGCGATTAGTATTCAGTCGGTGTCGCAGTCGACCGGTCGGACAAGGCCAGGGATGGGGGGCGGCAAGATTTGCTCTGGCAAAACGGGGGAGGATGCGTGCCGCACAACCTGTTCCTGATAACGGGCTATGCTTTCATCGAAATCTCTCCGATAAAAAGCACGCATCTCGATCGTTATTGGCGCTAAGCTGAAATGCGATTAGACGAGATCGCTTTAATCCTCAAAGCGTTTTCCCTCGATTAAAGGATTATCAGAGAGGTTTCAGCGAATCCTCGATGCCGGCGACGAGGCTGACTGCCTCGCTCCGTTGGGGATTGATTGTCCGATGAGAACGATGAAGCACGATTAAATTCGTTTCCCTATAACTTTGCAACGGACGATGACCTTTGAAGAATTCAGAGTAAAATCTTTAAAGTGGAAAGTAATTTCCCGATGAAAAAATAAAGCGTCACTTGCCTCGTCACGCAGTACTAAATTCAAAGAGTTTGCGAAATTAAGCGTCGGGCATGGAAACAGGGCGAGGACCTCTGAAAATCCGTGGGTAGTTCTGACTAGGTATCGAGTGAACGGATGAACGGACATTTAGACCGATTCCCAAAATCCCCTTCATACCAGATAAAACGGAATTCAAGTGGTTGATCGGAAGAGGTTTGATCTCCGAACGAGGCTAGTGAATAGCAGCAAATAGAAAGCGAAGCCTCTTGCGAATATCTACCAAACCTCGATGTGTTTCGCATGAAAAATTGTCATTGCGAAAATCTGACAAGCATACATCTTCGATCAATCATGGATCAAACCTTTGCTTCGTACTACACGTTTAACACAATGGAAACCGTCGCTGCCACGCTATTGGCTGGTTGAATCTATTTTCAAGCAAACAAAGCTGATCCGATCACATCGGCGAACAAACCTATCAGCTCTCTCATTCTCTTTCTCTCTATGGGCCCTTTACAGCCTAACGACCACAACTCGAAACAAAATTTTTATCGGTAAGACATCAAAGGGAATTCCATCGTACGTTAGATGAAAAGGACGAGCAGCGAAAAAGGGATGAGTAAGAAAGGGATCGGGAAGAGCGAAGACGGTGATGCGAGCAGGAATAGTCGAGATGATTGGCAAGTGGCGTTTCCGGACGAAACCGATCTAATGCAGTCCCATTAGTGTTCAGCTTTGACCGCTGTAACGCGCATTACCCGTTACTCATGGCCTCTTATTACTTACTGTGATCGAGCTCGTCCTGCTCCACGAGATAGTTGGTCGCGTTGTAGACGTGATGGTCAGGTTTAGCGGTGCTGGTGACCGCAGCTCCAGCCGTTACTGTCGTGGACGGATTAGTTGGAATTGCTGTACCAGCGCTAATCGCGACTGCAGCCGCGCTAGGCGGTGACGAGGACATCGTTGATACGAAATTCATGGCGGCGGTCGCGTTCTCGACCTTCGTCGCGTTCAGTTCGCTCGTCATTGTTCTAACACGGACGACCCCTTATGCTCGCATATCACTTTAGTCCGAGACCGACGAGTCGAATAACCGCAACGCCGTTATTATTCCGCAGCTTATCAGACGATACTAGTTCCGGGTCATCAATTCGATTGATCGCTCGGGACCAGGTTTATGGTTCGAAGGACATGATCCAGCGTACAGTCCGCAATTAACTATTCAATTTGGACTTAAGCTGCACTGATTAGATCCGTTCGCCACGCGACAACCCCTTCAGGTTCGGGATGCAAACGACCTGGGATCGTATCTCGTGAACCCGGTGTTTCGTGCTCCGCATCTCTTCCAACGGCTAATAGGCGAAACTGAAATCCACGATCCGAACAGAATTAGCTCGACCGAACCGATTCTAGCCGGTCTCTCCTTAAAGGCGACCAGTTAATTGGATCCATCGGCATCCTGTCGACCAATTAACGAACGATCATACGCACGTGCCTACACATACAAACAATCTCTGAACCAACGGCCACCGCTTACAATACGATCTGCGTTTCGCGCGTTTTCCCGTTCGTCGGAGAAACGATAGGAACGATCATCAAGTCAAAACTAATTCCCGACGAGAACAGGTGAATCCTTCATGACTCCTGATCGGATTGACGGTGATCGCTCACCCTTAAACCGGACTTCACCAGTGGATTAAATTCGGCCGAACAAAGAAATCCTCGCGAGGGGACGAGAAACTTGCTTATCCTTGTCTGCGTTGCAACCCTTCCTGCCTGTATAGCCACCAACTGAGCCTCGGTTCAATTTCACCGGCGTAGACGACAACTCTGGTGGTGTTTGTTAGAGGGCAACCGAGCGACGCTCATTCTCGCTTTCCTCCCGGGAGAATCGCCTTCTGAAACAGAAAAAAGGAAGTCTCCTGTAGTGGATTGCCCGTGTAATTTCATTTCCTGCAAGGGAATTCATCGACCGTTGCGAGATTACGCCGTCACAGTTAGGAGAACGTTAAGGGACGAGATTCGGTGGAATCGTGTAACCTATCGTGCAATTCCAAGATCGTCTCGGTTTACTCGTCTCCGTCACGATGACAGCAACAGGGATGGGGCAGCTTCCGCGGTCATTACCGCCGCGGAGTACACTATGCTTGAGAGAAATCTTTTTCAAGGTCATTTCACGTCGGTTCATCATCTCTAGTGTATCTGTATCGCCTTCAGCTCCTCTTTCATCGCCTATAGAGCTCCGTTGAGGTACCGCTTTCAGCCGTTCTACGTCGTTACCAACCCCCCAGCTTCGCGCGTTCTTTTACGTTTTTTTGCACTCTTCAATTACATTATGTAAGACACTTTAAGCAGTCTTACTTTCTAGAAAATACGCTCTTTGCAGACTCTATTCGTAACCATTTTTCTATTGCTATTGTTATCCAGAAAATTTCTCAAGTGGTTGCCATAATACGATAAGAAACATTCCCCATCTCTTCTCTACCCAGTGTCGTCCTATGAATTTCTCTTCATTCTTCGATATTACTTAAACTTTTCTTATTCCTACCTCTCTCTGATCCTTTCCATGTTTCATAGAATGCCATGCCTTCTAGCTATTCGGAACCCATCCAAACCGTGAATCGCGTCAGAATCTCGGACACAAGACGTAACTAATTTTTAATTTTCACGGTCCGCGCAGTCTACATTAACACAGATGGGATTCGAATTCGAAGCGAGCCACGGAGAGTCTAGACAGACAATTGTGGGATAGCCGAACGATTCTAGAGTTACGACCTGCAACGCATGCTTCCTCGATAATTAAACTTGGCCGATAGTTAACGCGGCATTGTTCCGCTAACAGTTTTCGTAGGACGCGCAGTAATTATTCATAAGCGTAAGTTCGTAATGAATGTGTGCACGCGCGTTTCAGGCCAAACTTGAAACCCGGCCACTGCGGTTAAGCTCGGTGCCCCGGTGTTTCCAATTTTCAGTAAACATTCGTTTTTCACGAACTCATCCTCCTTCCCCGAACATTTCCCCTACTAAAAATATACGGATCGCTAGAAGAGCGGAAAGTTAATTGAAATTATGTTGAGACAAATTCGAGCCTGTTTAAAGTGATAACGAAATATTCTGTAGAAACATTCTCCTTCCGTGGACATTTAATATCGATAATTGACAATCAACATCCGCGCCGCGTCGTTAACACGAACCATCGGTAGTTCGAACACGAGTCCGCATTAATTGGCACGAAGCGTATTGAAACTGCAACTGCACTGCGGTTGCCTCAAGAACACCCCTGCGAACGCGGGAGCGCTGTTGCAGGATACAACCACTCTCGCCCGTCGCTGACATCGTATAACGAGTCCGAATCGCGAATGGTACGTAACAACAAACGTGGACGAAATTATTAATCGGATTGAGAACCGATCCTCAGAGGAGTTTCAGTGATTACCGGTTTATCGACAACGTGTCTTTGTGAGGGATCTTTGGTGAAATTAGTAAAGAGGAAAAGCAAAATGCGCGTTCCGTTTAGTACTCGAAAGGAAACAAAAATTGCAACGGTTCCGTGAGTTCGTGTAATCAACGGAATGACGACGTTGTCGTCGTCTAGCCCTTCGCAATCAGCAGTGAGATCGCAGAACCGCAGGAACGTAGGTGCTCGTGAGCCGTGATTTTAATGAAAATTTACATTCACCTCGTCGTCGCGCCGGTGTGTTCCCCTGGAATGTCTGTCACGGCTCGGTACGTCGTGCATCTTGGCGAGAATATCAGCTTAACTCGGTTACCGTGTGGGAAGATGATGACAATTCGCAATGTAGCATGGGTAGGTAGATATAAGTGGACGAAGGGTCGAATGCCCAAAGAACGCCTTCGAGCGTTCGTTCTCTCTCGATTCGGGGAGCGTCTGGTTGTTACGGTGGTTTAGTAATTCTTGCGTAACATGGCATCGTGACGATGATCGCGACGACGATTTGCATAATCGAACTCGGAGCTTTTATGCCACTAACTACCGCGGCAGCTAAACGCAAGTGCAGCATCTGCGGCGTTAATAAGAAACTTTCCCGACATTAATTCCATTGAGTTCGTTAAACCCGCACCGAGACAGCGATTTTCCTCACTGAAATGACTATCGACCTGGACCCCAATCTAGGAATACGTGAATCCGCGAGATTGCGCGCAGTACACACGGTCGTTGATTAGCGCTATTAGTTAATTACGCAGTTAATTAATTTGCCGAATGCTCGACGAGCTTATCTGTCGACGACTGTGCGCGTTGAATAAATTTCGCGAATGCATTCCGTTCGGGGGGAGATCGCGAAAGGTTTCCGACTTTGATCCCCGATATTGCAAGTCGGCGGTAGTAGAGTACGCTTTATAATTAACTTTCGCCAGCGTCCCTTTTGCATCTCGACTTTCAGCCAAGCCTCGTTAGTGGACAGCGAACGGCGCGCTGACCCCGATTACTATTTTCTTCTCCGATACCGATCGACAAATGTCTATTTTTGAAAAATGCGAAACGAGGTAATCCGTTGCTGCAAAGAGGCTGTTCTTGGGGAAATGAATTTTTAAAAATTCCCCATATCGATCAGTAGGTTTTAACCAATCGACGAATTTTTAATCGATCGCTCGCCGCATGGTAATGCACGGTAAATAATGAATGACCAATTAAATTCTCGACCTTTTACCGCTTTAATAGCACTAATTACTAACTTAACGGACTCATTGTACTCGCCTTGTATAACCAGAATTGCGTCCATACGGTCGAGATAAAAGCTGGGCTCTGCATGGTAAATTTCAGCCAGGTGCTCTATTTGATCGTTCCCATTTATAAAAAGCCTGCGTGGGGTACAACGATTGCTCGAGACCGCCGTTGAATAATCAATTTTAAATGGCTTCTTTCTTATATCATACCTAGGTAGTTACGATTAGTAGACTGAATTGGCTATCTAACAAGAAAAGTCAATGCCTAAATAATTAATCGAGTGGAAAGAAATCCGATTCTCACTTCTGATATGTATAAAGAACGTTTATTTCATTTGATGCTTTTAAAAAATCATGATGACATTGTTAGATTTTTCGCTCGGCTATTTGGTTGTAGCAAATTTAGTTTCTTTGAAATGTATGACTAATGCATTTCATTCGTAATATGCAAATCTGTAAAGGCTGTACATTAGTCGTGTCTATATACTCTGAATTGATATTAGCTTAAAAGACACTCGACAAAGACGAAAGAAAAATCCGGATTTCACTGAATTGAGAAAGTCTCCGATGAATAGAGAACCATGTCATTGTGGACCGGGTTACATTTTTTGTTCCAGCTAACTTCTTCCACTTTGCTCAAGTAAATGATGCGAAAATCTTGAACTTGTTAGAAAAACCTACTCTTCTGGAAACATGCCCGCAAATGAGGGTAATTTGTGACCCTCGATGTAGCCTTTGCTTTTGCTGCTTTTGTTATTTATTCATTTCAAGGAATCACAACGTACTCTGAGACAGCGATTTTCCTCACTGAAATGACTATCGACCTGGACCCCAATCTAGGAATACGTGAATCCGCGAGATTGCGCGCAGTACACACGGTCGTTGATTAGCGCTATTAGTTAATTACGCAGTTAATTAATTTGCCGAATGCTCGACGAGCTTATCTGTCGACGACTGTGCGCGTTGAATAAATTTCGCGAATGCATTCCGTTCGGGGGGAGATCGCGAAAGGTTTCCGACTTTGATCCCCGATATTGCAAGTCGGCGGTAGTAGAGTACGCTTTATAATTAACTTTCGCCAGCGTCCCTTTTGCATCTCGACTTTCAGCCAAGCCTCGTTAGTGGACAGCGAACGGCGCGCTGACCCCGATTACTATTTTCTTCTCCGATACCGATCGACAAATGTCTATTTTTGAAAAATGCGAAACGAGGTAATCCGTTGCTGCAAAGAGGCTGTTCTTGGGGAAATGAATTTTTAAAAATTCCCCATATCGATCAGTAGGTTTTAACCAATCGACGAATTTTTAATCGATCGCTCGCCGCATGGTAATGCACGGTAAATAATGAATGACCAATTAAATTCTCGACCTTTTACCGCTTTAATAGCACTAATTACTAACTTAACGGACTCATTGTACTCGCCTTGTATAACCAGAATTGCGTCCATACGGTCGAGATAAAAGCTGGGCTCTGCATGGTAAATTTCAGCCAGGTGCTCTATTTGATCGTTCCCATTTATAAAAAGCCTGCGTGGGGTACAACGATTGCTCGAGACCGCCGTTGAATAATCAATTTTAAATGGCTTCTTTCTTATATCATACCTAGGTAGTTACGATTAGTAGACTGAATTGGCTATCTAACAAGAAAAGTCAATGCCTAAATAATTAATCGAGTGGAAAGAAATCCGATTCTCACTTCTGATATGTATAAAGAACGTTTATTTCATTTGATGCTTTTAAAAAATCATGATGACATTGTTAGATTTTTCGCTCGGCTATTTGGTTGTAGCAAATTTAGTTTCTTTGAAATGTATGACTAATGCATTTCATTCGTAATATGCAAATCTGTAAAGGCTGTACATTAGTCGTGTCTATATACTCTGAATTGATATTAGCTTAAAAGACACTCGACAAAGACGAAAGAAAAATCCGGATTTCACTGAATTGAGAAAGTCTCCGATGAATAGAGAACCATGTCATTGTGGACCGGGTTACATTTTTTGTTCCAGCTAACTTCTTCCACTTTGCTCAAGTAAATGATGCGAAAATCTTGAACTTGTTAGAAAAACCTACTCTTCTGGAAACATGCCCGCAAATGAGGGTAATTTGTGACCCTCGATGTAGCCTTTGCTTTTGCTGCTTTTGTTATTTATTCATTTCAAGGAATCACAACGTACTCTGCGCGCACAGAAAAAAGTAGAAATATGATAGAA